ACAGAAAATAATGGAGATTTTTAAACAAATTCTCGTGAGAATTATTAAGAAGTTTTCTGGAGGGTATTTGCGCGCTGAATTCCGAGACTGCTGGTGACAATTTCTTAGATATATCGGAGAGAATCTGTTATTACGAGAAATCCTGGGCGTAAAAGTAATTCTGCAGATATTTTGGAATGATCCTAATGAAATTTTTGAGAAATTTTTTAAAATATTTGATTGATTTTTTTTTTCAGAATCCCATATACAGAAATTCAAGACCCAGGATTAGTTGTTTCCTAAGATTCTGAAACTATGTTAAAAAATTGTTCATAATTATTTTTTTTTTTTTTTTTTTTTATTGGTATCAAGCTGGAGCTGCGTGACAGCTTAATTTTCAAGACTTGACCCATTTGAATAAATTTTGCTTCTATCTTTGACAATACAGCAGAAGGACTAGCCTATGTTGGCCGCTTGAACACTGGATTCCGTATGTATTGTTTCAAGATAGTTATAGAAAAAATGCTGTGACGTGTGCGCGTAGATACATCCGCGTAGTAAACCGATTGAATAAGTAAATCCGTTTCGAACGAAATATCTAAATTATGTAAGTTACGAAAACCGCGCGAATTCCGAAAGCCGTGCGAGACAACCGAAGCGAGAAAAAAAAAAGGCTTATTATCATTTAAAGAGTGCCACCAAAATAAATGTGATAGCCTATGTTGGCAAGTTGATTAATTTTGGTTTCCTCCTTAGATATTCTACTTATTTACTACTGAGCTTTGTATCAAATTAGTTAATTTAAAGAACGTATCAATCATTTCAAGATTTCGCGACCGCACCGAACAAATTCTATAAGCTCAAAAGCGTTTGACAAGCTCTACCGAATTGCGTATCACTTCTGCGTAAGCTCCGTAGACGTAGGCGCGTTGAATCCGACAGTCGGCAAAGGTTTAACCTGTACCAACACCGCTTAAGGAACGACCTCGAGTCAGTGAAACCGTTTATAGTTAAACATCTAAATTACGTAAGATACGAAAATCGCGCAAATTGTGAACGCCACGCGAAACAACCGTAGAGAAAAAAACAACTTATTATCACTTAAAGAGTGCCACCAAAATAAATGTGATAGCCTATGTTGGCAAGTTGATAAATTTTGGTTTCCTCCCTAAATATTCTACTTATTTTACTGTTGAGCTTTGTTTCAATTTAGTTATTTTACCGCACGTAACAATCATTTCAAGATTTCGCGACCGTACCGAACAAATTCTATACTACAGAAGCTAAAAAAAAAAAAAAAAAACTTTTGGTGAGCTCTACCGCATTGCAAATCACTTCTACGTAAGCTCCGTAGACGTAGGCGCGTTGATTCCGAAAGCCGCGAAAAGTTAAACATGCATCAATACCACATAAGGAAAGATCGATTTTACGTATGGTTTAGTTCATAGATTAACATTGATTGCTGTTTACAAATGTAAGTACTTGAACACTAAGAAATAAGTTAACTCAAATGCTTTAATCGCATATATAAGAGATTTCGCGTATTGAGAGAATTATATAGTAATCGAGTACAACAAACTCAGGGGAATACAATACCTCCAAAAGTTTAAAAGCTAATAACTGTCACATAACTCTACTTTTACTTTTTTCCTAAACTATTCCTTTCCTTGTTAATCTGCTAAATGCTATTGGTCTGCCTGCGTTTTCTTTTTTTTTTAAATTCAATACTAAATAAGAAGATTTATTCTACAACTATAAAGGTTAGTTGCCTCCCTAAGCGGACCACCCGCATCCTAATTCTTTTGTTAATCTACTTAATGTCATTAAACTTTCTGAAGTTTATTATTTAAATTCATTTGATGGTTATGATATCTCATTAGTCTAAATTAATAAATTATTAAAAGCTCTAAGTCACCTAATCAATCATAACCCATGCTTTATTAAGTACCTGCACTTGTGCTTGTAATCTAAAATTAAACGTGTTTCAAGTACTTTTGATTTTGACCTATACCTATTTATTATATCTTAGTTCGACCCAGGTGACACCCTCAAGTGACTAAAATGCTTCATTTTGAAGTTAGTTTCCTAGCTGATTTTAAATTATATAGGGTATATGCTCCAACTACGCTCACACGTTTCCACTATGTCGTCCCACAAAATTACGTATGGATATATCACAATAGAAGCACGCAACAGTGGAAATCCCGAGCCATAGTTCAAACATTTATCCCAAATCAAAATGAAGCACATATAAGATTAGTTACAATACCAAGTACAAAAATGATGTATAACATTGTTCCCTGAGTAATACTTCAATGAAAACAACAATGAAAGCTTGTCACGCAAATAGAAGGAGCACCGTTGGGCACTTTCTGAAATATTTCAATAGTATAATTCCCTTGCAAACCCAAATAAATCTATCTGCATAAAAATAAATAAAATAAGAGTGATTTGCGGCAAAACCCGCCAGTATCACACCCAACGTCAGTGCCTATACGTAAGCGTACCACGACGCGGCTCTCAATAAAAGGAGTAACAAGTGTGATACTATCACTGCTGGACTAGATCTTTTGTTCTCTCATGCAGTGGTTTATCAGAGAGGGGAAGCTCAGTAATCCTCATTGCCCGCCCATGGCGCCATTCTATCGCGGCATGAGCCAGCAACGTCGGCCACAAACCCACCGTCTCCAACACTCCACTAGCATGAAATTAAGCCCGCCCACCAACAGCAAGGTGCAAAAACTAGCCAAGGGGAGGGGTTAAAAAATTGTTCATAATTATGGGATTTAAAATTCCTGAAAAATTTGGATATGAGAACCCTCGAACTTCGAAAATCCTCTATACGGCAGCCGGTAATTCAATATCCAAGAAAAGGAATAATGTTCTAGATTCTGTGACATGACAGATATGAAAAGTTTTCAAGGCGCACATAAGTTTTGAGGTTTTGGAAGTTTACAAAAAATCACGAAGCAGACATTGTTTAGGATTGTCATTGGAAATATATAGGAAAATTATCACGGCCAATTTTCAAGACTCTCACACTTAATTTTTGGTTTAGGTTTTTGATAAGAATTCGAACTTCAAGAAATATTCAACATTCTAAGAGAAATATTCTAGTGTATTTTTATTAGCAGAATTCGTAGAAATTCTGGAAACTCCGTTGAATTTTAGAGAGCTTCGATTTTTGAAGAAATGTCAAATCCTCTAGATATTAATCAAGACTTTAGGTTGATCAAGTATTATTATGAAGATCTGCAAAAATTCAAATGCCGTTTCTCGTCTCAGATATTCGTCCAAGACGGCAGGTTGATCAGATAGTATTCAGTATATCTCCAGCTGATCCAAGTTTCTAAAGTCCTCTTTCAAGACTTCAGGTTTTAGTGGGGGATCCGCGAATCTATGAATTTCTGTCTGTCTGTCTGTGTCTGACCCTGATAGACTCGGAAACTACTGAACCGATCGGCGTGAAAATTTGTATGCAGGGGTTTTAGGGTCAGAGAAAGGTTCTTACGATGGTTCGAGACCCCTCCGCCCTCTGTAAAGGGGGGCTCCCATACAAATGAAATAAACAAAATTCTGCATAACCCGAGAACTAATCAAACAAATGGAACAAAATTTGGCATGTGGAGGTTATTGGGGGTAGCCCCTTAGATAAGAGGGGGGCTACGTACAATATAGAATCATTTTTTTTATTAACGCATAAATTCAAACTAATATTGAATCCCGAGCAAGGTCAGGCACACTCAGCAAGTAATATCTAAATTGAACGTTAAATTTAAATGGCGTCTCTCAGATGTTCTCCCAAGTTGGAAGGTTGGCCAGGATATATTTAAAAGATTTCCAGCTGATCGAAGATTTCAATAAAGTCCTCTGGATTAAACACATCTGGTTGATCATGTATTATTCTGAAGATCTTCAACTCTTTGAACATTCAATCGACATCTCTCAGATAGTCTTTATAGTTGACAGGTTGACCAGGAAGTACTAAAAAAATATCGCTAATCGAAGACTTCAGTAAAATACTGTGGATTTTTTTAACAAGACTTCAGATTGATCAACTAAAAAAAACTCATAAACAACATTTTCAAAAAGGAGCATGTAAAAATCTTAATTTCTATAGCAAAAACCATTACTTGACTGTTTAAAATAAAAAAAAAATAATCCTATATTAATACGTTTTCCTCTGATCGGAACCTAACACCACTGCGACCAGTAATTTGATCTATAGTAGTATATCCCGTGTCCTTAGTTTAGTGCAAGTCGTATTACTCCATAACTATTGAGAAATCAGGAAGTATTCGGTTGATGCAGTTGTCATTCTTGCTTCATCGCAAGGAATCGATTCTAATTGAAAAGTCCCGCTATTTATACCCTTCGGAGTGTTGAAACACCCTCCAAAGGTGCGCCCCTTTGTCAGTCAAAATTGGATTCCTTAGCAACAAAAATAAGCAATGACACCGATAATGACCATGCATCAGAACCCTAGTCTTAACCACTTCAACCTAGGCAATAACGAATAGAAGATTAGGAATCACATAGATGAAGACTAACAACTCATTTTTTCCTTGTTTCAAGATCATCCTCGGTGGACAAAGCCGAGTCTTGTCACGATCAACAAGGCATAACAAGTAACAAGGACTAAGATGTGTTCCTTGGATTACTGAAAAATCCTGTTCCCCTAGTTTGAAGTAGTCAGGACTAGGAATCGGTGGTAGATCTTACATCCCGTAACGTACCACGAAAAGGTGATCTACCCACGTTAGGGAGCTATATTAATATAAAATCCTCGGTAAAGAAATTAAAATTCATTAGGTTGGGTTTGAAAGCGAATCGAATAATCCAACCCCCGTGGCTCCAGCAAAAAAAAGGACACTTCAAGTTTACAGGTTCCAATCTATTAAAATTCGGTATCAAGTTTACTCATGTTATGCAAATTTCAATTGCTCATTTTAGAAGTAGGTACATACTCAATGAAGTCAGCCTACCGAAAAGAAAAATATATACAGGAGAATTACACTTACCACTTGCTGCTGTTGCTGTTGCTGTTGTTGCTGTTGCAACTGCTGCTGCTGTTGCTGCTGACTTTTGATCGTATTTTCCGCTGCTTTCAGATATTCATTGGTTTCCTGCATTGTGACCCCAACGGTCACGATGTAGTCGATGTCGCCGCCAGGATTCGATATACACTGAATGTTACTTTCCGGGGAGAACTGAACTCCAACCTGTTCCAGCAGCTCCTGCACAGTGCAGCTCTCCTTCGGCAGGGTGAACGTGATCAACCGTTGCTCTCCACTTTGCAGAATGACCAACATCTTTGCACTCTCGCGTGGTTCCGGTTCCGGCTGCGATGCAGGAGCCGGAGTTTGTTGCTGAACCAATTGTTGTTGTTGTTGCTGTTGCATGAGGTGATGTTGTTGGGAAATTTGCATTTGTGCGTTCTGTTGTTGTTGCTGCTGCTGCTGCTGTTGTAGAGCTAGTTGCTGCCGATTGATAGGAACCGTTTTACGGATAACCATACCACGGGCAGTCATTATTCCGCGACCACGATGACTGAATCCACCGCGGAAGTTTTCTTGCTGACGAATTTGTTGTTTCTCTTGAAAGGAACGGAATTGAGCAGCAGTCATGGTTTGACCATTTCCCAACTGAATAATACTGCTGGTCTCGTCGAACAAATGGGATTGCGGCAGTTGTTGTTGTTGCTGTTGTTGCGGGGATTGCTGAGGTTGTTGCTGAAGCATTTGCTGGGGCTGTGGAACTTCCTGCTGTTGGACTTCCTGCTGCTGATAGTTTGTTCCTTGATCCATCTGTACCGCCTGGGGGCTAGACTGAGCTGCATTTGGTGGAGCTTTAGCGACGACTGCTGCCTGAATACTATCTTCGAGATCTTCTAGATCATTTGAATACGTTCCACCGGAAGGTTTATGGGGAGACTGCTGAGTCGGCTGCTGAGCCGGTTGCTGTTGAGGTTGGGTTTCAACTGGCTCCTGAGGTTGAGATACTGGAACGAGTTGTGGAGGTGGGACTACATTCGGTGCAGATGCTACTCGTTTTATAGGTTGCGTTTTAGCTGCATTGAAAGTCGTTGGCACGAGGTGCGGAGGACGATTGACAGCCACAATCTTCTGCCCTGTACTGGTCAAGATGATATTAGTACGAGAAGCGACTGGTTGTTGTTGTTGTTGTTGCTGCTGCTGCTGTTGCTGTGGCTGTTGTTGATTTAAAGGCTGAAGTTGTTGAGTTTGAACAATACCGGGTTGGCGAATCACTGGAGCTGATGTAATTTTTGTCAACGCTGCGGTGGGACGGGGTGGCCGAACTTGCGTTTGACCTGGGGCACCAGTTGTAACGGGGAGAGTAGGGCGTTGCCGAGGGGTAGGTTTTGTATTACGGGGACGATAGTTACGAATCCGGGCGATGTGTTGAGGCGATTGAGCTTGCTGTTGAGTAACAGTTACTGTAGTTGTCTGTGCCTGTTGATTCTGAGGTTTAGTTATGATTAAGCACGGCCTGGCTCCTGGTGGTGGTTGTAACATTTGGGTTGGCTGTTGAATTACCTGCTGCGGTTGCGGTACTTGCTGTTGATGATGAATTTGTTGCTGAATGTATTGTTGATGTTGTTGAGGGGTTATTTTTTGAATACTAAGACGTTGAGTCTGTGCCTGCGCTTGTTGTGAAACAGGTTGTGATTGATGAACCAACTGTGATGCCAGCTGAATGCTTTGCTGAACCGTATGACCCTGTGGTTGAACATGTTCATATATTATTTGATGCTGTTGTTGCTGTGGTTGCCGATGGACTATTTGATGTCCTGGCGGATGTTGCAATATTACTTGTGTTGGAGGTTGATGAGTCAAAATATGTTGCTGAGGTTGTTGTACAGTTATTTGCTGTTGCGCTTGTGAAGATTTTGATAGCTCTTGTGGCTGTTGTCGAAGAATTATCTGTTGTCCAGGCCGCGGGACGCCATGGACAACTTGAAGCACTTGATGCTGCTGTTGCTGTTGTTGCTGCTGCTGCTGTTGCTGCAATTGTTCAGCAGCAGTTTGCATCGTATGCAAAGTGGTTTGTTGTGGTTGTTCGTGAACCAAATTTGTTTGAATCATTTGTGAACCATCATTCTGTACCTCGGAGTAGTATATATGCTGGGGCTGATTTGTTGGTTGCCCAAATGCATCCGTAAGAGCACCATCTTCTTGTTGTATTACATAGTGAGTTTCATGCTGTTGTTGCTGTTGTTGGGGCTGCGGCGGTGGAGGTTGCTGAGCCTGCGGCTGCTGTTGTGTCGCCTGCTGATATACAATCTGCTGCAGTTGGTGCTGATTGGCATCATTGAGTAACAACTCCTGTTGGTCTTGAGTCAATATTACTTGCTGGGAGCCAAATTGAACATCATCCCCCATCACTAGCTGGATTCCACCATTCTCCATCAATTGAGGATATAGATTCTTCAGCTCATCCGTCGGTACAATTTGATAGTATGCCATTTTTATATTTCGGTGTCTAGATTTTATGTTAAATTGAAGTTACTACTTTTATAACCGTGTCATTTCGTCTTCATACACTAAAAAATCCATTCACTGCGCACTGACAGCTTTTCCGTCAATCATTGAACGAAATTCCACTAAAATTTTCACTCGAAGCTACCGTACATTTCCACTTAAATTAAGGGGGGCTGTAAGCCAAAGTTTCGTATAGTTATTGAAATATTGTTCACTGTAGTTTCTTCGATCTCAAACCGTTTCGACTTTCACGAAAAAGAAAAATTCCATCTCGCTGTCAAAACGCGTCTTTTTCTGCTTTGTCTTCCGTTGTCATCATTCCGTAACTCAACCCCACTCACACAATGACGCAACTGGTCCGCGTTTGGCGAATGATTCCCACCTACACTAGCACGGACCGCCACCGTCTTCCTTCACTGTGCTCCACTTTCAAGCGACATGAAAAAAATGCTTTGCATGCAAAAGTTGCAGAAATTAAATGACACTTTTCCAACGTGATTTTCACTCTTACAGCTCGCTAACTATCAATCCGAATGACCAGCAACGTTTTGCACATTTTGAAACTAATTTTAACCGTATCCGTTTATTTGGAGTGGCACAAAATTACTTTTATCGACGGCCCCGTCCCGGAATCTGATGGCGTGAAAAAATCGACTCGCTTTTGATTCCTCTTCTTGGTGTCCGTAGCTTGTGTGAACGAACGGCAAATTTTACCTCAAGCGAGACGCCATCTTGAGGAAACTGTCGGACACTAACGTAAACCTCTGTTGCAAGGTACGCTAAATCGATGCTCATGACGTCACAATTGCCTTTGCTTTCTACGGAAATATGACGTTGCAGTCACTCTCTGTAGAACCTATCTGTTTACACTTACACAATTACAATGTAAGCATTATTCAAAATCCATTAGCTGGGTTATCGATGCTGTTTTTTGCTTTGACACTATTGATTGTAAATTTCCAAATGTGGACTATATAAACTTGAACGTATTAAATTCAAAATAGCTTTAAATTCAAAATAGTTTATTTTATTATTATTATTCTGCATTACGATAGCACACCTTTATATATAAGGCATACTCCAAGCAATCATCCCACCAAAACATTCTCACCCTCCTTCTCTCACTCCCTCTCCACCCACAACGCCGCTTTAAAGGGACAGGAGCATTATAACCTAACCTCACTAGTGCAGCCTAAACCGCTTGATGACGTCATCAATCATGAAAAGGAAAGCTCATTTTGTTAGTGGGACCACTAGCGTAAATCAGTGGGACCGCTGAGGGTAAAACTTATCATGGCGACCGCGGGCGACAGCGAACGGAAAGGAAAACAAAACAAGCGTTGACGTTTTCACTTCTCGTGCCCTTTAGAAACGGTTTGGCATGATTGTAAAATCCTACAGCATATTTCAAAAGGGCGAAATTTTTTTTTGTTATTAGAGTTTTCTATCACCGTTAGTATTGAAGACCAGTTTCACTAATACATGCGTTTTACTGGCTGAAATTAAAAAACAAACCGCTGTCAAGTCGAACTCTTTGACAGCTGATTTCGTGGTTGAAAATAATAAACAAATCGATTTTACACGGCTACACTAGCAAGGTTGTGTTAGTGAGATCTTGCGTCGAGAAGTCAATAGACTTCTCTGACGTTTATGAATTGCACAAGTATTAGTGCAGAACTTTGGGTGAATAAATTCAAAGGTTTTCTTGCACTAATCCTTATAATTTACACCAAGTTCTGCACTAATACTTGTGCATTTCACAAACGTCAGAGAAGTCTATAGAGATTGCTGACATTTATCGTACGCACACTACGTCACGTATACGTATACGCAAAATGTTTTCATCGGAGAAAATAAAACTTCATAACCGAAAATTTTCCCGATGAAAACAAATCACTGACACAATCATGACAATCAATCTCTAGCAATCTCTATAATGGCTTTAGCTATAGATTTCTTGAGGGAAAAAGCACACACGTTAAAACTAACAACATTATCAAGGTATGTTTCCTCTATTAACTAGTATGGTCAGTTTACAGAGTTTACAGGAATGAGCTCCCGCATAAACGCGAACCATAAATTGACCTTACGTAAAATGGTTAAAAATTGTTTATAATCCCTGCTAAACTTTAACTGAAATGGTTATGGAACTTTACATGAACGTTTAATGATAAAGTTTCAACCTTATGTATTATGGTTTTTTGGAACTCGACCTTACAAATAATGGGTTGTTAAGAACCATTACCATTCCAAATTTTTGTTTTCTCCATACATTTTCAGAAAGAGAACTATATAAGAACGTTTTTACTTATGATTTGAGAACATTAATGGTAAAGGTTATGGTAGTCAGTAAGGTCCATTAATGGTTTTGTATTATCGCTCATCTTTACGTGGAATATATCGTGAATTGGTAATCAGTAAATTACAGGCAACCAATTCGCGATATATTCCACATAAAGTTGATCGATGTTACAAAACCATTCGTGGACCTTACTGACTACCATAACCATTACCATTAAAGTTCTCAAACCATAAGTGAAAACGTTCTAATATCATAGAGGTAACTCTAAGACCACTGGGTCCCGAAGAAAATCATTATTATTTTTGGCTCACTCAGTACCAGAACAACGGTCCCAAGCAGTCCCAAGCTATTTCACTCACCCCTGCATGTTCTGCATGAATCCACACACCCCTGATGTTATCTGTCAAACTTTCATAGCGAATCAAAACAAACATAGTGTAGTAATAGAATTTCAACTAGAATAGGGTACGTTAATCGTTTGCTTGGGACCAATAGGCTACTAAAGTGGTGAGCCAATTTAAAATCGTTAGTTTCGTATTGATTGTTGCTAATATAGTTCTCTTTCCGAAAATGTATGGAGAAAACAAGAATTTGGAACGGTAATGGTTCTTAACAACCCATTATTTGTAAGGTCCAGTTCCAAAAAACCATAATACATAAGGTTGAAACTTTATCATTAAACGTTCATGTAAAGTTCCATAACTATTTCAGTTAAAGTTTAGCAGGGATTATAAACAATTTTTAACCATTTTAGGTAAGGTCAATTTATGGTTCGCGTTCATGCGGGCTTTTATTTGCTATCCAGCTTTCCATGCTCGGTAATGGCGGCCTGTTTGTATGAATAAATGTATCCTTCACTGTGCTTTTTGACACTAACTGGAGGGCGTATGTTGTTCCATTTTCTTCTGTTCCTGGGAGAGGGAAAGGGAAGGGGTTTAAATTCGAACATCCAGATAGTGTCAAAAAGCACAGTGAAGGATACATTTATTCATACAAACAGGCCGCCATAACCAAGCATGGAAAGCTGGATAAATCGTTGGTTGAAATCATTGTTTACAATAGCAGTTTCGCCCTAATGAAATGTTGGTATCTAGTTACATTAAAAAAAATATCACAATGTCATATTATTACACGCTATTTGTAAACTACCCAAATTTGGGTACAATCCACCCAGATCGGTCAAAACTGAACCTACCCAAAAATGGGTAAACTATGTTGGAAGTTACAAGTTGAAAAATGAACAAAGTCGATCGAATTCATGTCGATGTTGTCCATTTGTCAACTTGTAACTTCCCACATAGTTTACCCATTTTTGAGTAGGTTCAGTGTTGACCGATCTGGGTCGATTCTACCCAAATTTGGGTAGTTTTGATAAAGCGTGACCACCATCTTGTTCAAGGTGTTTCGCGAAAACCCATTAATAGGTATAAAATACCCATTTCTGCTAAAAGTGCCCCTGCTCATTTAATAAACAGCAAAAAAATGTAATATCGATCAACGTAATTCAAGCTGATGTATGAAATAATGATGTAATAGCAAAAAGCAGATACAATATTACATCAATGGATGTAATTTTGTTCGCAAAATCGATGTACATCGTACAACCAATAATCAATACGAAACTAACGATTTTAAATTGGCTCACCACTTTAGTAGCCTATTGGTCCCAAGCAAACGATTAACGTACCCTATTCTAGTTGAAATTCTATTACTACACTATGTTTGTTTTGATTCGCTATGAAAGTTTGACAGATAATATCAGGGGTGTGTTGATTCATGCAGAACATGCAGGGGTGAGTGAAATAGCTTGGGACTGCTTGGGACCGTTGTTCTGGTACTGAGTGAGCCAAAAATAATAATGATTTTCTTCGGGACCCAGTGGTCTTAGAGTTACCTCTATGGTACAACCACAAACGAAGTGACAGACGACTAACTGGCGAACAAATCCATTTAAATAATGTGGTTCACTGTACATAATAGAATTTTCTTGGAAGCTTCTGCCATCGTCCACCAGATGGGCTAGTTTTTTTGTTTTGATTTGAACAAAGTTGATTTTGTATACAATGATTCTTTGACAGTGTGCAAAGAGTGCGTATCATTTTGTCATTTTTTTATGCATTTCAGTTTTGAGTATAGAGTGAAAGAGATAGAACCAAAACGTTCTAGTACATTCGGTGAAAATGCTAGTTCAATCAACAATCAATACGAAACTAACGATTTTAAATTGGCTCAACACTTTAGTAGCCTATTGGTCCCAAGCAAACGATTAACGTACCCTATTCTTGTCGAAATTCTAGTACTACGCAATGTTTGTTTTGATTCACTATGAAAGTTTGACAGATAAAATGAGGGGTTATTGGTTTTTCCTATGTTTCGAGGGGTGAATCGATTAGCTTGGGACCGAAGAGAGTACCAGAGCTGAGCCAAAAAGTTGAGCTCGTTTCTTCGGGACCTTCTGGTCTTAGAGTTACCTCTATGGTAGTAGCACAAACGAAGTGACAGACCGTGCGGCTCGAAAACTTTGGTGACTAACCTGCTATTTCAATTTTTCAGTGTACCACATGGCAACACTACTACTACTAGATTGTACCACATGGCAACACTACTACTGGATTGTACTAGCATTTTCACCAAATGTATTAGAATGTTTTGGTTCTATCTCTTTCACTCTACTCAAAACTGAAATGCATAAAAAAATGACAAAATGATACGCACTCTTTGCACACTGTCAAAGAATTATTGTACACAAAATCAACTTTGTTCAAATCAAAACAAAAAAAACTAACCCATCTGGTGGATGATGGCACAAGCTTCCAAGAAAATTTCTATTACAGTGAACCACATTATATAAATGGATTTCTTCGGCAGTTAGTCGTCTGTCACTTCGTTTGTGGTAGTAGTGTTGCCATGTGGTACAACCCGAGCAAAGTTAGAGATCAAATTGAAATCAGAATTTGCTGTTATGATGTAACTTATTTTGAATACTCCATTTGATCTCATTTTGGTTGACTTAACGGTTAACACAGCAAAAATGAGAGCAAAATTTTACACTGTTGAATCAAACGGAAAACTAATTCTGCTTTCAATGAAATCAATTTGATTACTGATTTTGCATTCATAATGTTTTACTGAATACGGGCCTGTCGTAAATGGTTAGCATCCATGCTTCTCATGCTGAAAGATTTGAGCTCAAATGTCACTTCGGGCTAGTCACGAATGACCTAAAATGTGTTAAACAAATCAGATAAACGATAATCATTAGTTCAACGACAGATGAATTTCAATTAAATTTTAAACAAGACGTGAACAGCAGAACTTGCTTTCATTTAAAACGTCTTGACTGCATAATGAAAGCACAATATGATATCAGACTTATGTCGCAACATTTGAAATCAAAATGAGTTTTCATTATGATAGGAACTGCACACTTTAATCACAAACGAAGTGACAGACGACTAACTGGCAAAGAAATCCATTTAAATAATGTGGTTCACTGTAATAGAATTTTCTTGGAAGCTTGTGCCATCATCCACCAGATGGGTTAGTTTTTTTGTTTTGATTTCAACAAAGTTGATTTTGAGTACAATGATTCTTTGACAGTGTGCAAAGAGTGCGTATCATTTTGTAATTTTTTTGTGCATTTCAGTTTTGATTAGAGTGAAAGAGACAGAACCAAAACATTCTAGTACATTTGGTGAAAATGCTAGTTCAATCTAGTAGTAGTGTTGCCATGTAGTACAATCCAGTAGTAGTGGTGTTGCCATGTGGTACACTGAAAAATTGCAATAGCAATGCGTCTGTCACTTCGTTTGTCGTTTCGGATTCTAACCTTTTCCGGAGATCGTCCATTTTCGCTAAAAAGAAAAAGCTCCGGACAGTAACTGTTTGCATTCCCATGAGTCGGTGACGGAAATGAGACGATAAAATACTAGAGTAACATTTGAAATGGGCCTATGTCCGAAACTATTTCAAAACTACCCAAATTTGGGTAGAATCCACCCAGATCGGTCAAAACTGAACCTACCCAAACATGTGTAAACTATGTTGGGAGTAACAAGTTGACAAATTAATAAAGTCGATCAAATTCATGTCGATGTTTTCCGTTCGTCAACTTGTCACTTCAAACACAGTTTACCCAATTTGGGTAGTTTTGAAATAGCGTGTAATATAGTTTTCTCTTTGAAAATGTATGGAGAAAACAACTATTATGAATGGTAATGTTTCTTAAGGTTCAATCAAATATATTATATTAACAATACACAGAAAAAAAAGTTGTTGAATATTACATCCAAGCAGCTGCACACAGAGGTCATTCCGCTGGTGGTGTAATATTACGTTGTACGATGTATACCAATTTTGCAATTTTGCGAACAAAATTACATCCATTGATGTAATATTGTATCTGATTTTTGCTATTACATCATTATTTCATACATCAGCTTGAATTGCGTTGATCGATATCACATTTTTTTTTGCTGTGTATGATCCACTCTTTCGCTTAACTGGCGAACCAAATTTTTAGCGATGAAAGCACCTCTGTGGCCAAAAAGGCTACCAATGTATTTGTTTATCGTCTCGAGGGGTAAACCAAATGAAAATTTGTTTAATATTTCAAATGAATTTATTTCAGCATATTATTTTATTTGATGCCCACAGTGACATCACAGACAAACAGACATAACACTCGCGAGTTGTTCATCGAAAAGGCATTTAACGGTCAATTTAAAAGTATCGTAGTTGGTAGTACCTCCACCTGTGGCGCGCATAGTCAGTTCCCTTGCGTTTGACGTTTACACACTACCGCCATCTGTTCAGCGTACTACCCACCACAGTGCACTCAACAGATGGCGGTAATGTTTTAGCGACGATGTTTTATAGTGAGAAATATCCAATGTGTTATGTCTGTTTGTCTGTGGTGACATGTCAGACAAATTTAAAAGTAATATACATAATGTAATTAATGAAAATAATGTGACTCGTGCTTTTGTAATAAGTGCTAAATTCGCACCCCTTGATTGTAACTGAATGATTGTTTCTGACCTTTTTCAACGCTAGATGGTGCGTGCAGCAATATTTTGCGGGTCGCCATTGCAATATTTGGAAAAGGCATGAATGGATCATATTGTTAATATGATATATTTGGTTCAATTTACTTTGATGCTTTTTGGAAAATTTCAAGAGCAGTTTTTTTTCGACGCATTATTTTAGATTGCAAATAGCTCGCGTCATTTTGTGTAAAATATCAAAAGGAATCGAATAGTGCGAGCTTTCAGCAATCTGAATTTATGCGTCGGAAAAAAAACTGCTTTTGAAATTTTCCAAAAATCATCAAAGTACCTTAACAACCCATTATTTGTAAGGTTCATTTCCAAACAAAAAACATCACACCACATACAAAAACCTCGTCGCTAAAACATTACCGTCATCTGAGTACACTGTGGTGGGTAGTACGCTGAACAGATGGCGGTAGTGTGTAAACGTCAAATGCAAGGGAATTTACTATGCGCGCCACAGGTGGCAGTACTTCCAACTACTATACTTTTAAATTGCCCGTTAAATGCTTATTCGATGAACAACTTGCGAGTGTTATGTCTGTTTGTCTGTGATAAAACTTAATTACACGAACGTTCATGTAAAGTTTCATAACCATTTCAGTTAAAGTTTAGCAGGGATTATAAACAATGTTTAACCATTTTCGGTAAGGTCAATTTATAGTTCGCGTTTATGCGGGATGAACCTCTGAATAAAAATTTCTATAAAAAAAAAATTAAAAACATTAAAAAGGACCTTGGACTGAAGAAGCAAAGTACGTTGTTTGTTCTCTGAGCTCCATGGTTTCGTTTCTCGTTCGCGTCAACAAGTTTTGCTTTACAGACTCGCAGTTTTCGGATAGAAGTTACCGTAGTCTCATAATTAAAGTCGGTAGGTTTAGATGTATTCCCCAAATTAAAATATATTCAATTGTATGCTTAACAGATTAACAGATATATAGCGTGACGTGATAGATATAATCACTTATGTATAATGACGCACAAAAAAGGTTAATGTAAATCTCCGGATCTTACTCCTGCTAGTAACCGTTTTTAAAGACAGGAATTCTTACTTCCTTTTCTTCAGCTCTTCAAAGCGTCTCGATAGCTCGTCAAAATCAATTTCGTCGTTATCATCTGGACCACCACCACTACCACCTCTGGCAGATGGACTGTTATCGTTCGGCACATCTGGTAGATCGGCTGGCACATTCGGCAGCACTGGGAAATTCATTTCTGGCGAAATCTTCGATCGGGGCTGTGGTTTTGGTTTTGTTGAATTCTACAAGGGAGCAGATGGAAACGAGTTAGAAACTGCTAGACCGTAATTAGAGTATTGTAGCTTACATTTATCAAATTAATTTCAATAGATATTGACATTTTATTAAGTAGGTAGGTACTCACAAAGATCCGAAACCGAAGAATAGATTCGACAAGAGAAATTATTAAATCAAAAGACAGAAAGGGAATAGGACAAACGACTCTGGATAGATATACCTAAATAGATACAGAAAGCATTTACAAAATATTACCTGCATATTGTCATCTGGACTTAGCGAAGCGTATGATGGCGGAGGACCGGAATGACCAAAAGTTTTCTTCTCTTTATGAAGAAAGTTTGAATTAATGTTCAAATCTTTTTCTTCGTCAGCCGGAGCACCGGATGGGTTCGGTGGAATATTATAGTTGAACGGCGGTGCTGAGGCTGATCCGAAGTATTGGCCACTGGGTCCCTGCTAAATGCAAAATGTTGTATAATGTACGGTCTAAAATTAACGCTATATGATTTTTGATACTTACTGGATAATGGAAAGGAACCGTTAGTGGAACAGTCGGTAAATGTGGCAATGGTGGCGGCTGAGGATATCCAATGAATCCCATTGGTGCTGGTGCCCCACCACCGCCGCCACCAGCAGACGAACCACCACCAGAGCCACCTCCATCCAGATTGTTCCTGTCTGATAAATCGATCAGTATACTATCTCCAAGATTGGGCTTATCGTCCTTCATCACGAGCGGATCCGGTTCGTATTCAACGTTAAAAATCTTAGCAATTTCAATTAGGTACTTCTCAACCAAGAGCTTTGGTGGCGCTTGAATAGCCAATTTATGCATCAACTTATCCGACACCTTATGTGGAGGGATTGCTGCCCGAGCTGATTCCGCAAACGGTTTACCATATTTGACCGTGAATATGTCAGCACATATCTTCAGCTCCAGGACATCTGCCTGTAATCGTGGAGCAACCCAGACTATACTGCTCACAGCTTCCTCGATTCCCTCATCTATTTCTTTCATTTGGGTAACCAGTCCAAATCGGGCCAAGATCAAATCACAGTACATCTCTACTATTTCCATAGCTTCTACCAGATAGTCCTCGCGGATGATGTGTTCGACACGGATTTTAGCCCGCTCTGGTTTCCCTGCCACTAGATAGTCAGCAATTTCCTTCCGCGCTTTCTGAGCAAGTTCCGTCTTTTTCTTCTCAAGCAATTTTAAACGGTTAACTGCCAGCCGAAGGTTTGTCTTCAACTTTGTATAATTTGGGCCACTGGAAAACATTTTAGCGAAGTTTTTTCTGTTCCTTTCTAATTCGACGCAAAAATATATCTAAAGTAGATGAGTCACAGCGAAAAGTACCATCGGAGATTCTGACGAACAGACGAAAGTTGAAGAATCAAAACAATCCTTTTTGGCAGCTGTTGTTGTCAAACTATCATCGTGAGCCAAAAATGGCGTTATGCGATAATCACGCTAAGATGCACATACGTAAAACTCGGTGAACAGTATACCTAGATATGGTTAAAAATTACCGATAATCGCAAAAGTGCATGCACACTCAGAAATATCAACAATCAATTCGAAACTAACGATTTTAAATTGGCTCACTACTTGACTAGCCTATTGGTCCCAAGCAAACGATTAACGTATCCCATTCTAGTCGAATTTCTAGTACTATTTTTTTTTCCTATGGTTTGTTTTTTTTCCGTCGATCTTGTTTTCCGTGCTGAGCACCAATGCTACCGACGTGCCAGGAAGGCAGCTCCCACACCTGGACCCTACCTATCGACCCATCAACTCATGAACCGGGGACCAACGGCTTTACTTCCCATCCGAAGGAAGGCGTGATCAGAGATGTTATGCCTCAGAACATCCCGGTGGCACCGACTGGGATTGAACCCAGGCCTGCTGGGGTGAGAGGTAATCACGCTTACCACTACACCACCGGCGCCGTTAATTTCTAGTACTACACTATGTTTGTTTTGATTCGCTATGAAAGTTTGACAGATAAAATGAGGGGTTCATGGATTTTCCTTTGTTTCGAGGGGTGCATCGATTAGCTTGGGACCGAAGATAGTACCAGAGCTGAGTCAAAAAGTTGAGCACGTATCTTCGGGACCTTCTGGTCTTAGAGTTACCTCTATGGAAATATTACTTATCAACGAATGATTAAAATAAAAGAGCTTGAATTTATAAAGAGGCGACATCTAGGGCGACATCTTATCCTTTTGACAGGTTTTCTGCTCGATTGGAATGACTTTTCTTATGACTTTGACAGATAATCGATTGTTCCAATTTTGACATGTCGTCTCTTTATAAATTCAGGCTCTTTAATTAGAATGTAATCATTTTATGATTAATCAATGTTTACACTGATTCGATTTCCATTTACTTCAAACATAGACGAAAAAACGTGCTCAACTTTTTGGCTCAGCTCAGGTACTATCTTCGGTCCCAATCTAATCGATGCACCCCTTGAAATATAGAAAAATCCACGAGCCCCTCATTTTATGTGTCAAACTTTCATAGCGAATCAAAACAAACATAGTGTAGTATTGATACTAGAATGGGGTACGTTAATCGATTTGCTTGGTACCAATACCCTAATAAAAATTGTATGGTTAATTTGCTTAACGACGTGTTCTGGGTATCATCCAAACCATTTGTGGAATAGTTCAATGATTTGGGTTATCGTTCGTTTATGGTTATTTTTTATTAGGGTAGGCTAGTCAAGTAGTGCGCCAATTTAAAATCGTTAGTTTCGTATTGATTTTTGTTATAACGGTTGTCAAATAATTGCAATACAGAAACCACCATCAAGATAGCGCTATAACATGTATACGTATCAATACCCTCGTCAATACCCCTAAACAACCCAATTGCAATAATGTTCATGAGAAGAACAAACTATAAAAGGAATTCCATGTGTGCAATCTGTGTCTCCCTCCAAGTTGCTGGTGAGCCTGTCGCTCTCAATAATGGTTATCAGCATAATGTATAATCAGTATTTCGCAGCTGATTAATATTGGCCGATTTACACCAATTAACATCAGCATATATGAATCAGCGATTCTGTGACACTACCCCGAATGTCACTACCCCGAACGCCATAACCCCGAACGCCGTTAACCCGAATGCCACTACCCCGAATGTCCTACTACCATAGAGGTAACTCTAAGACCACTGGGTCCCGAAGAAAATCATTATTATTTTTGGCTCACTCAGTACCAGAACAACGGTCCCAAGCAGTCCCAAGCTATTTCACTCACCCCTGCATGTTCCGCATGAATCCACACACCCCTGATGTTATCTGTCAAACTTTCATAGCGAATCAAAACAAACATAGTGTAGTAATAGAATTTCAACTAGAATAGGCTACGTTAATCGTTTGCTTGGGACCAATAGGCTACTAAAGTGGTGAGCCAATTTAAAATCGTTAGTTTCGTATTGATTGTTGCTACTACCCCGAATGGTCATTACCCCGAATGCCCTACTACCAACAATTAATACGTAACTAACGATTTTAAATTGGCTCACCACTTTAGTAGCCTGTTGGTCCCAAGCAAACGATTAACGTACCCTATTCTAGTCGAAATTCTAGTACTACGCAATGTTTGTTTTGATTCGCTATGAAAGTTTGACAGATAAAATGAGGGTTTATTGGTTTTACCTATGTTTCGAGGGGTGATTCGACAAGCTTGGGACCGAAGATAGTACCAGAGGTGAGCCAAAAAGTTGAGCACGTTTCTTCGGGACCTACTTGTCTTAGAGTTACCAACAATCAATACGAAACTAACGATTTTAAATTGGCTCACCACTTTAGTAGCCTATTGGTCCCAAGCAAACGATTAACGTACCCTATTCTAGTTGAAATTCTATTACTACACTATGTTTGTTTTGATTCGCTATGAAAGTTTGACAGATAACATCAGGGGTGTGTGGATTCATGCAGAACATGCAGGGGTGAGTGAAATAGCTTGGGACTGCTTGGGACCGTTGTTCTGGTACTGAGTGAGCCAAAAATAATAATGATTTTCTTCGGGACCCAGTGGTCTTAGAGTTACCTCTATGGAGTTACCTCTATGCTACTACCCCGAATGGCCATTACCCCGAAATTAAGACAAATGAAAGAAGGAGGGGCGATTCACTTGTGTATTTTCGATTCAGGCCAACGTATTGATGAACGTATTGAAGTATTTTTTTATCGAATAAACGTGTATTATTTTGCACTTTTTGAATATATGTAATTTTATGTGTATTAGAAAAATAAAAGTGTATTATTCTGTATTAATGTATTGAAAATCAGTTATAAGTGTATTCTGTCATTTTAGTGTTTATGTTTACCACTCGAACCGAGTGTCAAACGGATCAAACTCACAATGTTGACGTTTTGTTTGACAAATGCACAGCACACTTTAAAATACCCACTGATGAGTAGAATTTCATCCAATTTAATGAAAAGAGGCTTAACTCATAAACTCATTAGGGGCTCTTCATTAATAAGTAGGCAGTTTTTTGGGATTCTTGAAGCCCCCCCCCCCACCCCTCTACGTTGACAATTGTCCATACAAAATTTTAAAAATTTGTATGGGCCGTGGATAATTGCCAACTCCCCCCCCCCCTACTTTATGAACAACCCCTTACCTCGCTCGCATTAATAAGCATTTGTTTCGCATTCGTTACTTATTTGTGGGTCACAACTACTTATTAATGTTTTTTTTTATTCAATAAACGATTTAAAGCACTTTTCTTAAAAATGGGTGAAATCCTACTCATTGATGCATTGTTTTGTGATTCGAGCTCGGATTAAAATATAAAATAATAAATTTACGCATTTTGTTCGAATTCAGCATTTTGATTGTACATATTTCGAATTTTTCCTGCAAATGACGAATTATCGTGTATTTTTATTATTCGTCGAATATTTGTGTATTTTTTTTTCCGAATTTTGTATTTTTTTTGCATTTTTTTGAGTAATGACGAGTAATGATGAATTTTTGTGTATTTTTTTCATTCACGTATTTTCGATTCATTTTTGAGGGCAGTGAATTGCCCCTCGTGAAAGAACAGCAAGGGGTCAAAAGAAGGGTACATTTTTAGAAGGATATTTCGTTTTGGAATCAGCACTATAGCATAAACTAAAGACCCTGAATTTATGATGATGTGTAAACCGGTCATATGAGTGAGCATCCCTAATAAAAATAACCCATGAAAGAGAGCTTAACGACGTGTTCGGGGTATCATCCGAACCATTTGTGGGATAGTTTAACCATCCGGGATACAGTTCGCTTATGGCATTTGTGTTTTAGGGATGTCTAAGGAAACAATTTCGATAAATTATTCGACCAACAATTGAAAAGGGCCTTTCAGCTTTGTAAGCCCTTTCCTCGTAAACTGAAGACTGCCCACGCAAATTAATGGCATCATCGTGTACACATTAAGTATTTTTTACAGCATTCTTTAATTTTTTACCGAATATGGAACAGATGAACATCCGGTAATCTATTCGGTAATTTTATTATTTACAATCCGTTCTGTAAATTTTCTTCACTCTTCAGCTGTCAGAATTTACTGACCTGTATTGTAAATTTTACAAAATGATTGGTAAAGTTTACAATAGCGTTCGGTATAATTTTACCGAAATAACTGTTTATTATCTTCCTGAATGATCCAAAATTATGATTTTTTTTTTATTGATTTATTGATCATTTCTTTCATGCACACAAAAAACAAAAATTGTTGTAATAAAAATAATGCAATTTCAATTTAAAAGTTTCCCTAAATTCGTAGTTTTAACTACGAAAAACTCAAATTGAAAATTATTTCTTTTGGTTTGACAATATTTCCACAGACAAACAGACGTAACTCTTTGAAAAACTTGTTCTTGAAAACATAGTATCTCAAAACATATAACCTCAGTAACGACATCTATCTGGCTTCTCGCGGAAAACAAGCTTGCTCGCTAACTCGTAAACAATATTGCATTAAATTTCTATACAATATATAGAAACGTCAAAGTGATCCGATGCCAGCGCTGCGGCGAGTAGTTCGCGGAACTGATAATATTCAAATCAACCGTTAAATGCATGAACTAAGATACACAATGAAGAGTTACGTCTGTTTGTCTGTGATATTTCTTTCACTTTCGACTCGTAATTTTAAAAGCTCATTTTTGAAAATAAAAGTTGTACAACTGTCAAAAATACCTCTTCATAATGAAGTTGTTGGCAGCCTTGGCAGCACAACCTATTTTTACCGCCAAATTTTACTTGACGTCATAAGCAACCACAAGAAGGAGGCGAGAAATCCTTGGAAACATTATGATTTTCCGCTGCAGCAGGGAATGTTAGGTGAGTTGAAATTTGATAAGGTTTATTATGAATTTGTTTTATTTGTTTTATCTTAGCACCAGGTCCGATTGTTCACGGAATTAGCACAGCTGATACGCAAACTCCTGATGAAAGGAGTCAAGATTGTTGGAGATTGTTGACACCTTGGGCAAGCAAATTGGAACGGATACACTTCTGACTGCAAACAGGTGGAAGTAGCGTTAAAATTCGAAATCTTTTTTTCGTCACTGAATGACCATGGGAAGCGTGAGGAGTCCACCCGCAACACGATCAAAGTTGATCCATAATCTACTGGAAATAGTTTAAAAAGTTCCTGGGATCATACGGGCGAGCGAGCGGGCGAGACACTGTACAATGCGATGTGAAATTTTTCCCACTCGGGAGAAGGAAATTCAACATCATATATTTAATATTGATTGTTTAAAATATCAATAAACATATTTTTGTACATTTATTTCAAATAATAAAAACTTTTAAGTGAATATTTATAAGATTTTGGAATGAAAACGGACGTAATAATGATGAAAGTATTTGTTTTTAAATTTAAAAGGACATATATGTTATCCTAACTATACCAAAGTTTCAGGCCAAAAGTTTATTTTGAATCAAAAATAATCTGCTTTTAGTTTAAACACTGTTATGCTTTTCATTTGACAGAAGTACAATTCAATTTGAAAGTTTTAACTTTTAAAAGCAGTGGCCGGGCAACTTTTGATTTGACAGTTGGCCAATTTTTGTTTTGAAAGCGAACCGCTTTCTACCAAAAAGAACCAATGCATACACGGATAGAAATCTCCTTATACCTTTTGGCAAATTTCTATTGCTGATTATTCATAAAATGTATAAGTCAACTAATAAGCAGACGCCTTGCAAAAAGTTAATGAAGCTCATGTGTCAAATGAAATGTATAAGCGGTCACACATACCTTTTATGCATTCTTGTAGGACCTATGTGGTTTGTCTTATGGAATGTATAAGGCTGATGCTTTGGCAAAAATGTATAAGTGAAACAGATGAATAAAATAATTGATTTTCGTTTCGTGTACTTTTAATTCTATCAATGTATTTTTTAATTTGAGCAATGATTTTTCTTTGTGTGATGTGTTTTCTTAAAATGAAAATGATAACAAAACAATCGATTCGTTTGACTCATAAAATGTTATTTTTTGTATATTATCATCGTACGAAAATAATATGCAGCAGAGAATGACGATGTTACTGACCTAACAAACCATACACAAATTGGCTTTTTGCATTTGATGATGACATTAGGCTGATTTACGCGAGGCTTTTACGTCCATGGTGACTGAAAGCAATTAGCCTAGAAGTTGAGGGACAAATTAACATTTCGGTGTTAATTTATTCGATTGTAGCAAAATAAAGTAGAGTACTTACTTTTCACACCGGAGAATCGAAGAAAACTTAGCATCTGAAGAGCCGAAAATGTTTAATTTGACAGTATGGAATTTACAAACCTATTCGGTAATGTTTACAAAAATCTGCTAATTTTTTTTTTTTTTGCGTTTATTTATAAGGCCCCCTCGCCTATTAGGCATTGCTTGGGCCGATGAGCATTATTAACAATTAGAACCCTTCCCGCTTTTATTTTTCAAATAAAATGTATTATTCCCTATTTGATAAGTTGCATTATTATCATCTAAACGATCTGTTTGCTGACCAGTCTTCTGGGTGCACTGATCAGCACGAACTATCTTTTTTTCGTTCTCCTTGTGTTTTGACAGCCGGCGTTTGTTGGTATTTTCAATTTGATCCTTTGTTGCGTTTGATGAGCTGGTGCTAGAATTTTCGTCGTTGCTTTCAACGTTTGAAGTGTGATGATCCTCGGTGTTTCGCTGTTGTTCTTCTGCTGAGAACCCGGTGAAAGCAGGAGATGATTGACCCGATGTCGTTGGCTGCTTTTGTTCGATATCAATCGACGGGAAATCAGCGAGACTGAATACCCCCTCGGTTGGTGGAGCTGCTGGAGCGGTGCTATTGTTCGATGTGGCTACATCCAAACATTTCTGTTTGGGATGTGCTGCTCGACCACAATGGCGGCACGTTTTTGGTTGCTTGTCGTACGTTACCAACGTTGTTTCGTTGTCGACCGTGATGTACGATGGAATGGTGCTTTCGAGTCGCATTCGCAAAACTCGAACACCGCTCAGGAATCCTGGGAAGTAGTGCTTCCATTTCTCATGTCGACTGGAAATCACTGTCCCGTACTTTGACATGTGGTTCATAATAGTGGCTTGTGGCCATGCCAGAGGAAGGTCATGCACTCGAACGGTCACTGCTTCACAATCCACATATATCGGGATTTTGAACTCACTCTTCGCACAGAGAATCGCGTGTTTATAGTTGTGCGCCTTTTCATACACAGCAAAAAAAGTTGTTGAATATTACATCGAAACTGCTGCAACCAGGTCAATCCATCGGTTGTGTAATATCACATTGTACGATGTACATCGATTTTGCGAACAAAATTACATCCATTGATGTTATATTGTATCTGCTTTTTGCTATTACATCATTATTTCATACATCAGCTTGAATTACGTTGATCAATATTACATTTTTTTTTTGCTGTGTAGCGCAAGGCCACTTCATTGTCTATCATCTCAATAAAAACACAATTTCGGACGTTATGAAACTGATGGCGGTAAGCTCCAACTCGGATTAACTTTTAATACCGTCCCTGTTTGTATGATCTGAAAAATGTTTGCTCAGAGTTATGTTGATTAACTCTGATGTCGACATCAAACCAGCCGGACATTCTTGATCGAGATTTAATCCGAGGATAATACCGGTTGGAGCTTACCACCATGAATACATCTAACGTCCGAATATTGAAGCCTTACACGCAGAAAAAAATATTTTAAGCGTAATAATATTTGACGTAAATGCAATAAGAATTTCATGTTGTTTTGGCTGCAAAAAGAAATCATTATTGTTTCAACAATCCAGTATTGTTGTCCCTTAAAACCCATGGATTGTTAAATCAAAAAGAAAATCTTTTCGAATTTACAAGAGCTTTCATGGTTTTGACGTAAGCTGTCAAATTTGGCAGCTGGGTCAACAAGAAAATATGTTTGTTTTTAAAAGAGATTTCTTGTTGATTCAATCAAATTTATTTTATGAAGGCTGACAATTCACGCAGTAGAAATAACAATATGTTTATTGATTCAAAAATAATGTCGATTTTTTTTTGTGTTTTGTTTTCTTTTTGCAACAAACAGAATTGCAATTGAATTTTTGAGGCATAAAATCACTGATCACGCCTTCCTTCGGGAAGGGAAGTAAAGCCGTTGGTCACCGGTTCATGAGTTGATGGGTCGATATGTAGGGTCCAGGTGTGGGAGGTGCATTCCTGGCGTCGGGAGCATTGGTACTCAGTACGGAAACCAAGATCGACGGAAAAAAATCAAGGAAAAAAAACTTAAAAATTGATTATATTTAACAACTGCAGCTTCAACTGCAGCTTACTTGCTTACCTCAAGTCTCAAGATTTTCGGAAATCTCGTACTTATTTCCCGAAATTCACAATTAAAAACAATACTTAATGAAATGAGAAATTTGTTGTTATTATTTACATTTTTGTCCGGGTGAAAACGAGGGAATAGTTGGTAGTTATTTTTGTATTCATGGCCCGGGGAATAGACACAGCAAATAAATGCTAAATTAAAATTAACTATTGTTGGCTTAATAATAGAATATTGTTATTTTTACAATAGTTGCAATTGAAAAGTGGCTTATTAAAACAAAAAGAATCTTATGTTGAATTTATTTGAATAAGTTTTATAGAAACAATAAAATGCAATATAATTTCAACCGGAATTGTTTGTTTAAATACAACTAAAGTTTTGTTTGGTTCAATGCAAACAATTTTCTGTCCGTGTATATTGTTCTCGAAGAATTTTTGCACTTTTCCCGCATTGGGACGAACTGGAAGGACACTGAAGTCAACAACAAGTGTGTTTTTACGAACTACACTCATTTTCGCTACAATATTTCACTAAGTTAAGCAGAGCAGAAAGAGCACACGTCCGATGAATACGAGTAATGGCTGTCGAATGAAATCTGCTACTTTATTACGGTTTGTTTTTGTAACAGATTATTTTTACAGTACAGTCACCAAACTTTTTACAGTATCGTGGAATTATCACCCGTTACAGCTTTGATCAGTAAGTTTTGTTTACAGTTTTCGGTAAAACAATTTAATTTTCAGAAATTCAGCAGGCTTGATTGCGGAAATTTGGAAAAATTATATTTTTTCAAAACTTTCGGTGAAAATGATATTTTACAGAACGCGAGACAGAAAGTATCCAGCAAAAAAGTACCGAACAATAAATATATAAGATAAATGGTGTATAGGGAAAAGTGAGGGGCGATCAACTTTCAACGATTTCATAATGAATTTAATACACTTTAATACAAAAATATACAAAACCTTCATACAGATATACGGAAAATTACAAAATGCACCTTTTCAATTCGGGTAGATGAATCGAAAATATTCAAATTATTTATTATTATTGACGTTAGAAGATATTGTCTACATAAAAGTAAATACTTACGTCAATTTGACTATTTACTCGTGAAATATTGTTATTGTTTACTGAAAACGTAACTGCAGCCGTCATCCGCGCGTGCCGTTTTTTTCAGTTTGGGCACTTATCTTTTCGAGCAGTTCGTAACGCCAGTCATCCATCTTTATTCGTGCAGTTCACTGCAGCTCGTCCTTTCCTTCATCGTAGTTTCGCATTTGCATCGCCTGAAAGTGGTTCCGGATGGTAGTGAAAATTTCGTAAAAAATTACAGTTTATTCCACTTTTTCCGTGAAAAGTGCAGCAAATTATTGTTCACTCCCCCCGGGGGAATAGTACAGTGCATTCATTGTACGGAAATAGCAGCTGAAATCGTGTGAAAAATTGAAGTGAAAAAGTTGCTGAGCAGCAGCGAAGAGGAGAAAAGGCAGAGCGCATCGAAATTTGCCGTGCCGAGAAAAGAAAGGAGGGCCGAAATACGAAAAGAAGGAAAAAGAAGTAAGTACTTTGCCACCGTTTCATGCGCGTACCCCGCAAGCGAGGTATTCTGCCTCGAAATTTTGTTTGCCTCCGTTCTCCCCCTCGGGGGCAATTTCTCACCAATAATGATGGGACATTTGAGTAGAATAAAAACTTGCTTCTGGCCATTGCTGCAGCGTTGCAAGATGGTTAGTTTTTCGTGTTTCATTTTTGTTTTCTTATGGCCAAGTCGTATTATTTGGATACGCTTTGCTGGCACTGTATGTTGATTTACAGGTGTCTGATTGGAGATACATAGGTGTATCGGGAACTTTTCTATACAGTTAGATCTTTTATTTTCTGTCGATTGGCGACTAGCTAAACCCTAAATATTGATGTCACTTTCATTCCTAGACGGAAGACGTGAACAGGGGTTTTGTTTTAGAATAATACAGTGTTTTCCCGTTTTTGGCAACACATGATTTTTGTCTGCTGTGCTATCTAGAAAATCCATCTAAGGTTTTTCTTCATTTCTGATTTAACTAGTTCATTCTAGACTTGTGCGCCGGTCCTTTCATCGGAAACCATGTTTGTCTCGGCGGCGGCGGCATGCATTGTCATATTTTAAACGTCAACCAGAATAATTTATTGCCGTATATGTGACTTGTTACAGATAACAGCTTTTGCAAAAAAAAAAAAAAGTTGTAAAACCCTTTACACGCGATCCAAAGTACACCCACCCAAACCGACATCATCGGGTAGGGGAAATTCTCCCCTTTCCAATAATGGTATTGGTTTGCGTGGGCGTTCTTCGGCCTTAAAAGTTTTGTTTACAATAGCTTTTGTCCCCTTTTAAAATGTTACGCCTGATTTTCAAATTGTTGAAAACATCGTTGCAACGTTTCTTTTTTTTATTATTTCTATATTTATTTACTATTCCCTTCATCGGACTTTTGTTGTCTAAATGAAGATTGATGGGGAAAAGCCTATTTGGCAAATATTTGCCCAAATAGGCGTAAAACCCCATATCTTTTCAAAATACAAGGACAAAATAAAAAGGACAAAACAGAACAATTCGACAGTGAGCATTCATAAGGGCGTATACGCGATGATCGATTCTCTTCATCGATTTTCTCTTTTGTTAATAACTCGCTAGATTTAACGTTTGTCGGTGCGTTTGCTGTTGCTTTTGATAGCCAATGCAACCTGTTACAACTCTACATTGAATAAATTCTACAAAATTTTTGCGCTTAGCTGTAGCAATGCAAAGAGAAAATCGATGAAGAGAATCGATCATCGCGTATAGGCCCTTATGCATGCTCACTGTCGAATTATAAAAATTAATAAACACCGAATACGGGTAGGTGGGGCATAGTGGGCATGTTAAGCATTTTACCATACATCTAATAAAGTAAGCAATATAATTGTACATTTGCAGCGTTAAATCTTGGAAAGGTATCTTATTATCATAAACTGACCGTTGAAATGTGAAAAAAATGAATGAGATGAAAAACCATATGTTTTTAGAACGTGTGAAATTGTGAATCTAAGGTACCAGGTGGGGCATAATGAGCAAGCCATTTTTTGTACAAATTGATTGTTTCATGTATACTCTTGAAAGGTTAAACTTTTGTCCAACAGTCTAAAAGGTATTAGGGGATTGAGGGGTAGAATACATTCGGAATTATGGGGTAAAATGTGTTCTAATATCGATGGATTTTTTAATAACACCAAAGGATGGTCTGTATTCACTTTTATCATTTCGTAATAAACTTTACAAAATAATATTAACATAAATTTAATAACAGTGTTCGCTTAAAACAATCATCCCGTAAAATAAATCCAATAAAAATACAATGATTTTCAGTGCCATTGTAACTATGATATTTATTGTCAAACCCACATATTGGTTATCTAACAAGTTGGACAAACCAGTCCATGGCATTCATGGAACCAAATAAGACTGTTGCGCCGTGCAAGCTTTAGGCCCTTTCGATAATAAAAGCTGACGCCTCGGCTGACGCGACGCGGCCAAGAATGCTACATTTTTACTGTCATGCAAAATCAAAACAAAAGCAAAAAGTTAAAAGCGTGTAATCGATTGATAAGTTCTAATTAAATTTAACTATATTTCGTTTATTATTACTTTCAAAACTAAGATAAGTTGATTCATCTCCTAGTTCTTAATTATTCAACGTTTAAATTCCTAAGAACAAGTAAATCTGTTATTCTAAATTGAAATTTGATTTTATAACCTAAAATTTGATAAAATCTAGGAGAACCCTGTGACGAGAAATATCTTCCGTAAAGCGAAAAACTACACTGAACCAAATTGTCCATACATCAATGTATGATTATTGCTTCACTTGAGCCCCATACGGATTATTTTTCTATTTGTGAAAGATTATCATTCTCTGATTCAGCTCTCAAAGCACAGAAGAACTGAATAACAATAATTCTAAAACAGGATGATTTTCGTTCTGCACGCTGTAAACCATTAGCATGATTATCATCCATTCTTAGGAAGACTTGAAATGAACAAACCGTATGATTAACATTGAGATAGATACGGACTCGTCATACAGTTTCAAAATAAATTGTCATGCAACGTTTAAATGAAATATAAGTGCAATCTGAATGAAAAATATATGGAAGCAGAAAGCTTATTTTACTGTTTAAAAATTGTGATCATAACGAAATATATCTCTTCTAAATTGTTGGAACTGTTAATTAATGTTGTAAATGAAACACTTCTGTTTTATAAGCTGAACAATTGTTTTATTCATTTATGATAAAACAACCACACTAAATGCTGCACTGGGCCGGCCTTGCCCCTGGCGTCCCCATCGAACAGTGGATTCGCCGGTTCGGACTCGTCATCCACGGAATCGAACCCAATCACGTTCTGTAGGAACTTGTGCAATTTAGGATGTTGGCTCGGGTTGTTTGTGGCCTCAAAAAGCAGTTTGAAAATGTTGTCCAAAATCTGCTAAACGAGCTCATCAGCTGGTTGGTCTTGAAGATATCACTGGAAGATAAACTTGTTTTGTTAGAATCGTATTGCTTGAAACAAAGGACCTCCCTCCCAGTAACTTACTGAAGTCTAGGAATTTGAATCAACCAGCGGATGTTGTTTCTGTTGATGGCCACTTGGCCAGTTTGTAAAACTCCACTCGTTCGGCGACTTGCCGTAGTACGAAAGAGGCAGTTCGGCGTTTTGGTACTTGCTTTCCTCAAAGTCGCTGACCACTTCCTCGAGGGGGGGCTGGATCGCGAACAATCCACGGGCACTGAAGCATTCGAATCAAACGGGAACGGAACGAGTAGATATTTTTTTGCCACATGAATCCGAAAACTTTTTTCTCGTTCGCTTTTTGGTGACACTTCCCGTGGTATGCGAAAAAACTGTGTATTGCTATTCGAGAGAGACGCAACAAACTGCGAAAAAATGGTAAGGCCAAAACGCAATGGGAGACTGAAACGATATGAAAATGAATCGTATGACAGTTGTTGTATGATTTTCGTTATGGGGTTCAATTGGATGATTTTAGTTCATTTCTGTTCTTGAATTCATTTATTGTTAATACCTTTCAAAATTTGAACGGTACTTCATTAAGTGGTTGATGTTATTTCCTTTTATGATATGTATGATGAATCATCCCATTTAATGTCAATTATCAGTCAATCGGGTATCTCATATTATTTTCGATGTTAAAGAAATCGAATAGCTCTGAATGATTAATCATGCAATGACGACATGGTAAATTCGCTCAGTGTAGCGAAAGTCGCAAGTTATATGCCATTTATAACTAGAATTTGCCTAAAATACTTAACCGTTAGTGCGTTCCCGGTAGCTGGTTGAAAACCAATTTGTTAGTCGATTTGATGTTTTTTTACGATTGTTACGAACCTAATTAAAATAAATTACAGTCGAGTGGCTGATGGTAGCATTTACGCCAATCTTCACCGTGATTAGAGGTGCTGAAGGAACTGCCACAAATATGGCACAGTATATCTTCCTGCAATCCTGTTGGCGGTTCTGAGTTCCACGTGGACGACCTCGCTGTTTTTCTGAAGTTGGTCAATATCCTTCGTAGCTTGCAGCTGCTTTAGCACTTTCCGATGAGGACTTGCTGTAATATTTGCTGCTTTTTCTCTTTTTCTGCCACGCGTTATGATTCGTTTTGTCGACTTTGGTACAGGATGAACCATCTCTGGGGAAACCTTGAACCTTGATGTCGATCATTCCGGTGTGCAAGCAGCCGGAATTTCCAGTGATCCAGCGATTCTCGTATTGTCCTCCGGTATCATGGAGTTCACAGGTAAGTTAAGCTCAGCATCGTCAAATCCGTGAAACAGTGGTTCTCATCATCATCAATCAAAACATTGGTCACCTCTGATGGTGCAAAATCAATGTCATTGAAGGTGAAGCGATTCAAAAAAACAATTCCGGTTTTACGAAATCCATTGACAGCTGTTTGAGCTAGGCAAGTTTCACTAAAAGCTTTGCTAGAAGACCTGCGTTTGCTTTCAAGTAATCTTCTACAGCTTTCGAAAAGCTGCTTTTAAAGGGCCCCATAAAACTGACGTCCAGCGGTTGTAGGCGGTGGCTGCAATGGGGTGGAAGGCAAACTACAGTGACATGATTTGCCGTTGCCCACTCTAGAAACACCAAGTTCTTCGTATAGGAAGCGTGTCCTTCTAGTAATAGCAACACGTCGGGCGCGTATGGTTAAGAAAATGATCGAAGCAAGAATTAAAGTCTTCCATCGTCATCCAACCCGATGAGTTGCATCGAAACACAGTATCCGGTGGTGGGCCCTGCTTAAGACTTTCCGTTAAGCGTGCTCGTGGCAAAATTATCATTGGTGGTAGAAACCAGCCAGCTGCCGACATACACATGCATGCGGTTGACAATAATACCCTTTCGCCGGACGTAAGACAGCCCACTTGTCGCCTTCCACGGAGCGCCAGTACCTTAGATTTCTTTGTTTGAATCTGAAAAATTATAAAAAAAAAGTATGTAATAACATGACGGT